ACTTTATCTAGGTATTAATTATGTGAGATGAGATATTTACATTAGTCTCGATTAAGTGCTGTGATCTGGTGCGGAGCTAGTTCACTCCCTGTGGTGTACCTTGGAAAGTGCACAAGCATGAACCAAACAGGCAAGCAGTCTTAGGCACTCAAACTACTACTCTGTCTTAATACAGGTAATCCCTGAGTTATGACAGTTCCCTTAGCACCCGATCGAAGTTAAGTGATAAGTGCTCCCTAGTGTTTACGACCAAGTCCTAAAATTATGAATGTTGCAGCACCACGGCAGTTGTTCGCTCCCTACAACTGCTTTCCCCTCCAATCCTGTCCCCCCCACCCCAGGCTCACTTGCCTTGCAAAGATCTCTCTTCTCTCTGCCGTAGTTTCTTTGCCTTAGAGGGAGAGGAGAGTCGGCTTGGAAAAGTTCTAGGGGCTGTGATCTCACGTGACTTCAGGCACACATCAGAATGGGTGCTTGAAGTCGCAATCATCTCGGTGCAAAAAGCATTTCCAAGCCGACTCTCCTTTCCCTCAAAGGCAAAGAAACCGCAGCAGAGAAGAGACAGATCCTTGCAAGCTAAGTGCTTCAGGCGCGGCAGGATGGGAGGGGGAAGCATGAGGTATCTCAGTGGATCGGGGAGGCCTTGGGGGCCTGTTCCATCACTAGGCCCCCATGGCCTTCCCCACCCTGAGATACCTCATGCGCACTTAACAACCCGCTCATTCAGTTAGCGAATGCATGGGCAAAAGCAGGGAGTGATCGTGTTCAAGGTACGCGATTCACTCCTACAAATCCTCCAGTTACAAATGGAATGGGCAGGCTCCATTACATTTGTAACTCGAGAACTACCTGTAATGTAGTCTCCTGGCAAATGTAACATCGCCATATGCTAAATAAATAAATAAATAAATAAATAAATAAATAAATAAATAAATAAATAAATAAATAAATAAATAAATAAATAAATAAATAAATAAATAAATAAATAAATAAATAAATAAATAAAGTGTTGTGATTGCTTCAGGCTGCACTCAATACTATTCTTAGGAGTGCAGGGATGAAGAAACAATGTTTTGAGATAGATGCCATGCTGTGCAATTATCAAAATGTAAAAAGCAACTGTAGCCTAGATCTGTTTCTATCCTTAAAGAAAATACAAATTCCTAGGTGGAGGGGGAAAAAAGAGTTTTTCTCTCTGCTTTATAGAACTTTATTTTTTTTTTTTTTTTATTATTTTAATTTCTATACCGCCCTTCTCCCGCAGGACTCAGGGCGGTGCACAGCATATTAAAAACAGATACAATAACAATATACAAAAATAAAACCCTTCTAAAACCAAATTAAAAACCAAATATTAGAGGCTGTGTTCCAATTAAAATTATACTTAAAATCGTCCCTAAATAAAATCCTCCTTA